TTTATGTGGCGGATTGAGCTTGTAAGCTGAAATAATACAATTAATTTGTTCTCTCCCCGAACCTCTCTTTTCCCGTTCTTCTCCCGTCGTCTCAGATCAAGGAAGTGGAAATGTGCTGACATGGAGGGATACCCCAAAGAGAATTCTAACAAAGATGTTTGTTCGCGCTAATGAAGAAAATAATGAAAGGCAAACAACAAAACTGCAAGAGTGAGCAAAACGAATTGAGCACCGAGGAGGGATGGAAATGAGCTGAGCGTAAGTGGCATTATCAAATATGCACACAAATATGAGTAAGGCAACAGTATCACTGCAGTGAGGTATCTTTCAATCTCATCTTGCTCCTGGGATGGTAGTGAGCAGAGATGATGTACATAAGCAGGGGACTATCAGGCCTAATTGGACTAACATCAAATAAGACTGCCACAAGAGAACCAGCAGGTAAGGAAATCATACCTATTTTTAGGATATACAACTAATCAGGAGATTAGACTAATTTCAGTAAAATGGGTGAATTACTGTAATTTAAATAAATATCAACACAAAAAGAAACTGGACAAAATTTAACTAATGTTTTGCCAAACAGTAAAGTCCAAATTTGAAAGATGCCACTAAGTTACTGTTTCTAAAAAAAACTTCAGAAGTCAAAGTTTCTGAAAGCTGGATGTAAAAACAATGAAAAGAAAACATAAGCCTCTCTGTAGACCTAATGTTATTTGCTGGAACTGTTGTATTTTCTTGCTGAGTCATATTAGACACTAGTGGATGAACACAATGAAGACCGACCAAGAACAATGTTAAAGGAGAATTCCGGTTTTTAACACTTTGAGCCCAATTTCTGTAGTGTCCAGGATGAAATCGAATGATCGACACCAAAATTTTGACAATTGGTCCTGTCTCTGCTTTTTGGCTCATTTAGAATCCACCCCTGGCTGCTTCAGAACGGCTTCCATAGTGCATGTCCGATAATGTCCTTAAAACAACCTTAAACATTCTTTTTTAAAAATATGCTACTCACCGGGTCGTCAGCGCTGTTCAATGACGTTCCAAAAAAAGTTTCGTAAAGAAAAAACGTTCCTGTAGTGTTTTATTTAGCATTTTGTAAATCCCATTGAGTTCTGTTGGAATAGTCAATATTCCCCTGCCACCGGAAACGGAAATGGGGCCTGTTTACACAGTTGTAGTCTTTTCGCTTCACTCTGTGTACTCCGACGTCGAGAATCAAGAATCCACCTTTCGTATTCCATTTTCAGAGTTTTTTAAAGTGTTTAACAGAGACGTTAGCACCTCGACGTTGGAGTACACAGAGTGAAGCGAAAAGACTACAACTGTGTAAACAGACCCCATTTCCGTTTCCGGTGGCAGGGGAATATTGACTATTCCAACAGAACTCAATGGGATTTACAAAATGCTAAATAAAACACTACAGGAACGTTTTTTCTTTACGAAACGTTTTTTGGAACGTCATTGAACAGCGCTGATGACCCGGTGAGTAGCATATTTTAAAAAAAGACTTTTAAGGTTGTTTTAAGGACATTATCGGACATGCTCTATGGAAGCCATTCTAAAGCAGCCAGGGGTGGATTCTAAATGAGCCAAAAAGCAGAGACAGGACCAATTGTCAAAATTTTGGTGTCGATCATTCGATTTCATCCTGGACACTACAGAAAATGGGCTAAAAGTGTTAAAAACCGGAATTCTCCTTTAACACAACCAGTAGCCTCTATGTTAGGCTCCTTTCCTGCGTTGCCGCAGGTGAAGTCTCTGCTGGGTCTTCTTAAGGACGCTAGCTGGGTATTCATTACAAATGCGTGCATAAATATGTTGATATTCTGTTAATTTTGAAAAAATATAACTTTCGCAAGTGTCATTTCCATTGAATAAGAAATACTATTACAATTGCACCTGAATGCGAATCCTCACGTGATAACTCTTAGAAATAACATGGCAGTGGCGGATGTATAAAACAAGGATATACCCATATTTCAGCACGGCTCTGGTACTTATCGTGCTCATCTTCACAAACTAAATGTCAAAACTACTCGGTCTCCTGATGAATTCAAAAATGAGTCACAATCATCTTCCAACTATATCCAATCCTCTTCTTTTTTTATTATAAGACAGTAGGGTCCAGTTTTTGTCGCAGTTTTGCGCAATATGGTAACTTCGATGTGACCCAAAAAAAACATGCTACTAAAGTTTAAAAATTTTAGGTTCTAAGTGTTTCTATTTAGCAAATTTATTTTTCAGAATTACAATTTGCGTAATATGCAGCTACTGGCTATATGTGTGAGGAGCATTCTACTTTCTGAGACAGAGTGATTCTCTGAAACCTGATATCATTTTCACGAGACACAGTTTTATTGAGGATGGTAACGGCAGGGTGTTGTTGGTTTTCTCTGGAAATCAACCATTTTCTCCAATGGCTTGAGTGTGTTAAGCTCCGGGTGGTTCTGTATGAGTGGACCGGCTGATCCAGCCGCATTTTCAAACAGCTGGAGAGACAACTCTTTATGAGGAGTCTATGTTGCAATAAACCCAAAGAGAAATCTTCTATAAAACCTTTCCTATAAAAAAACAAAAACAAATCATTTGTTAAATAAAAGTCACTCAAATCTAAATGTTCAGGGCTTTTTGTTTGGGGTTACCTGCAGATAGGTATAAGCCGTCTAAAGCTCAGGTATCTGCTTAACAACACATCATTCAGTGCCATTTGTTTTATTTTTTAAGTAAGAGCTCCCTGAAAAAGCATTATTTTCCATGCAGATGTTTTTTTTTTTTTTTTTTTTTTTTTTTTTATTGGTTCTAATTTCAGATTAACTGTCATATGGGTGCTTGGTGGTTTCTCAAACATTTTTTTTCTGGAAAACAAGTTATTTTATTTGCGTTCTGCTACTGTATAATAGTGAATTTTTAAACATTAGAAAATTTGGATTATACCTCATATTTTGAAATGAGTGCAAACAAATGTAAACTTCTAAAGTTCTTACTTTTGCTTTATATCCAGTCTTAAAAAAAATATTTCGTCAGTGTTTAAAGGGAAGTTTTTCTTTTAAGTAGCGCCACCGTCTTTTAGTTTTTCTCAAACTGATTCTTTGCATATTTCTACCTACTTTTCCCTCCTGCTGTCTTACTATTTGGCAGGTATTTGCATAAACGTGCCACTGGAGTTTTTAGTAAGAAGACCTTTGCATACTAATAACTTTCAGCCAACACCCCTGACACATGCCTGCTACTGCTTCACTTGTAGTATTGTGAAACTGAGGCTTGACAGAGACAAGTAGTGTGACTCTTAGTCTGTGTCTAGAAAGTAACAGAGAGCTTACAGCCACACCTGCAGACAGACAGATAGTCAATACTGCACTTTCTGTATTTCAGCAACTATTACTCCCTCCGTTCACTCTCTCTCAACATTCCTTTAACAAACTTGTTAATTTCTCCTAACAATGGAAACAACTATTTCAACCAGTCTTAGTAATCAACATGAGAAAAGAAAAATCAAAACTATAAGGAGACAATTGCAAATGTATTTATTTTAATTTTTTAATTAGGGTGTTAATGGCACGAGTATTCAGACTGAAAGCGTTCTGCACATTCCTGCTGGTTTGACAAACACAGTGTTGCTTTAAACTTTGCACATGTAGAATATCTATAAGACAGAACTAATTGTGCAATGCAGGATCTTTTGGTGCAACTTTAAAAGTAACATCAAAGCCAAACAGAGAAACGGCCCAGTTATCACTAACTCTGCTATTTAGGGAACATTAAGGTTTCCCATGCAGATACAGAACAAAATGGTGCAGTGAACAAAACCTCAATGGCGGACATATTCTTCAACTGTAGTAGGGTACGGTATTATTTTTCTACCCAGCTAGATCATTCAATTTAAAAATGCAGTTAAGTCCAAATCAGCTTCACGCTGCATTCAACCAATCCCAAACACAGCACAACATATCCGTACTGTCTGTCGGGTTATCCTCTGACCAGAGAGCATTTACCAATAGCTGTGGATTCAAGTTGACAAGTAACCTACACTGGATTGTCTAAATATTAAAAAAAAACTCCAAAGTATTTTAAACTAGTTTTATTATCATAATACCTCTTATAAAAGCATACTCTTTTAAATTGTTAACAATAACAATTTAGGTGGTTTTAAGGTAATCCATCCATCTAACATACGTTTTGTTTCAACAATGGCTGCTCCTGTCACTCTTCTGTAGATCTCTGGTTAATGCGTCACTTGCCCAGGCTTTCACTTTAGGTTGAGAGGTTATTTCTCTGCATGTTGTGCCAAGCTTTTTTCTAATATTAGATCATGGATTGGACAGCACTTACAACTAGTTAGATTTTCGAAGCTTCTGAGTTTTTATAACCAAACCCTGCTTTGATCTTCCCCGCAACTTTTTTTCCCCCCTGACCTTCCTTGCCTGAGTTCCTCGGTCTTTACGCTGTTGTTTGTTTTTGAAAAGTTTCTCCAAAAAACACACACATGCTGACACAAATTATTCGAATTGGGAAATTAATTTTCAAAGTTTTAGGCTAAATTGGCTGAATACAGATGCACACCACCCATTGATTTGTCATCATCTTGGTACTTCACAGAATAATTTATGAACAAAAAAATTGTGTAGAATGAAATAAATGTAATTGAACGTATGGTTCTAATAGGATCAATTCAGTACAACCTCAAACAGTGTCTGATCTATCCTAGCCCTTTGATGCTGCTCCTTATTTTAATTTCTGCTGTGTTTAGGGTGCCAGGAACATGGATAACGTGCTATAGAGGGGCTAAGCTACAACCACCAAATATTTTAGAATGTATCCAGACATTTTAAAGTACACACATGCATTTGCATACATATATATTTACTTTCTGCAACACACATTCATAAGTATCTCCAATTCTCCCTCCACGGCTTCAAGAAGCCTTATCATCTTCCTTCTTTTAAGCACGAAGCTGTCATTCAGTACAGAGGAGTTCCCAGTGGTGTCGGAAGTACCTGTTCTGTTTTGCAGAGCCTGACTTTACTCCCCGCCAGGGACACCAGCACTCTGCCTTTGTAACCACGGAGCTCCAGCAATCCTCGCTTGTTTGTGGAGGAGAGGTGGGGAAGGCTGACGGAGCGCTTCTGGGAGCCGCTGGCGGGGGGGCGCGTGGCCGTCTGAAGAGTTTCCATCCACTCCTGGCGCTCCCCTGTGGACACGTGCATAAGTAAGAGCCAGAAGGAGAGGAGGAAGGAAAGCAGGTGGCGGATGAGAATACATGTGTGAGAGTGAACACAAAAGAGAAAAGGAATTAAGACAAGAAGAAGAAAAAAGAAATCAAAAGATCAGATCTTAAATCTTTGAAAGTTCATCCTTTTTGTGTTGTCTTCAGTGAGTTAGTGGGTTATTTTGGCTTTTTGATGTCTCAAGCACAACCAAATGTGACAAAACATTCCAACCTGAATGAAAAGCAATTAAACACAGAATGATCCACACTTGCTAAGATTATTTCGGCACTTAGAAAAGGAAATCCTAAAAAACTGAAAGAAAGTGATAAATGTTGCACAAAAGATACAGCTAAATGTGTTACATTCTGAGGCTTAAAGCGAGAGAGGTGACGTGGATAAATTCAGACTGCCACAAAACTATCTCAATTTCTCCACAAGGCCAATTAAACTGTCTTTAAATGAATTGCAGCCATAGCAGTTCACAGTCTCAAAATGGAAAACATGTGAGCAAAGTCACAGAGAGCTGTGAACATCTTTCACAGATCTCGGATTGTTTAACAAATATAGTTTACATTCAGCTGTGAGTCTTATTATGTGGAGTTTGCTTGATCAGGCTTTATTGCTGCACCCCAAACGTCAAAGAGAATCTTCACCAAATATGAATTTTCCATAAAAAGAGCACTCTGTCCTTAAAGATGTGGTCGCCTTTTTTGTAACATTGTTTAATAAAGTGAGAAGAGTGGTGAGAACAGCAGTTCTGCAACAGCTTTTTCCCCGATGCCATCAAACTGTTGAACTGTAAACTGGACTCTGCATCACACTTGCAACATCATTTTTCACCACCAACATGCTAAAACTTTTATAATCCTTTTTAATAGTACACAACTAAGTGTTCAGTGACGTGCGGTCAGGGGAGGCAGGTGAGGCAGTGCCTCACCAGCCATCATGGAAAGAAAGAAAATATATAATCATAAAGTAATTTAAATTGTTATATTCATCCGGTGGTTTGTACTAAAAAATATTCATTTTTCATGTAGCTTCACCAATTTCGATTTTTATTTGTTCAAAATCGCTGAATTTTCTTATTTTCCCATTCAAATGCTTGGAAGCGATGCCGGTGAGGCAGCAGCGAGCTCTGCCTCACCTTGGATTGCGCAACCCCTGGCTCTGCGCTGGCTGCAAAGCGGAGAGAGCATGTTGCTGTACGGCGTCAATAAAATGGTTTAAACAAATGTAATATGTGAACTTATTTCTAATAATTTGGCTTATGTATATAATGTACAGAGCTTTTTGTCACCAACTGTGTTTGTGTAACGTGTTTCGTGTAATGAGCGATTATAAACGGCAGAGAACAAGTTCGAGGTGAGGCAGGCAGTTCTCTTGCCTCATGGCAGGGGGTGCTCAAGAGACTGAAAACATAAGGCAGGAACAGGACGGATCAAGGAAGGCTTTCTTCCCTGGCAGTGATCTCCATTGAGACAGAGAGACTTTTAAAACTGAAGGAAGATAAGGAGGACTTCTATTCATTTATAAGTAAAGGTAAGACAGTAATAACATTTATTTTGTTTTGTTTTTTAAGGAAATGTGTGTTTTGTGAGCTACAGTTTGTATGTGTAAGGATGCAGAAGTGAAACATAACCTGTAAACTGCTGTCAATCTATGCATCTATTTGCAAATCTGATTCTGATGACGTCAGTGCCTCACCAGCTATGAACCTCACCGCACGTCACTGTAAGTGTTATACTGAATTTTGCACCATGTTTACTTTGCAGTGCACTAAGCCTTTTCATATTAATGCCCTTTTGCTGTTGTAAGCAACATAGTTTCATTCTGTATACACTGTGTATACAAAAGGACAATAAAGTTTGTTTAAGTCTAAATTCATCCAGATTGCCCAATTTCAACCTTTAGTACCTTTTATAAGGTTTTGTAACAGCATTTTATTACCAGACTTTAACTAGACCAGACCAAACAGAAGAATCATCCTCTTTATGTCCTCCTTTAAAACACACATTTAGGCAAGGATATATTTTTTTTATCAGAATTGTCTTCAATAGCCTAAAAATCATTGTATTAATTTTGTTTGTTTGGTTAGCCGGGGAGGGGTGGGGGCGGGGATGTCTTCAAACTTTTCCATGGATGTTATTTTTGCAGTCTTTTACTTGTTTTCCTCTCTTGTTAATTATTGAAAGAGATCCCTGCAGTACTTCAGACAGCTTTCTGGATCTTTCGTCATGCCCTGGTTGATTGATGCACTCTTGGAGTAATATTCGTGGTATGTTTTTTTTTTAGGAAGGTTCACTCCATTTGATATTTTTAAATCACAGATCTCATAGATATCCAGGCCTAGTTTGATCCCAAAAAATGTACTTTTTTGTGCTTGAACAAAAACAAAAAAATTTAAATTTACAGTAAATCCCCCATGGATCTCAGCTCAGCTAAATGGACCAACACAGAGCAAGACATTGTGTTGTAGCCAGGGTTTTACATTCAAACAATGTTCACTCAAAAGGGCTTGTCAGACATCTTCCTCCACAACTTTTCAAACAGACTTAAAAAGAGACATGAAGCCGACACTGTAAAGCCCATTCCCCCACCGCCCAAGACACTGAGCTATCAAAGCCAGCAAAGTGGAAACACAAGAATTACCAAAGGATTGCAAACACACGAGAACACACACTCCAACATCACAGGTCCGGAGCGGAGCCCACAGAGGCAAGCGTTCAACAGAAAAAACACAGAAAAACAAGCATCAAATGAAATCTATAAACTGATATCAAACTCTGGGATTAGTCGGTAAAATCTTGCCAATATACAAAATTCAAGAGATTCCAAAATTTTCTATTTTTTTATTCCCATACAAGGACATTCAAAGGTTTCTGAAGATTTTTGAAAAGTCAATAGAGACGAGACCAGGGCCAAAATGGGCATTTATGAAAAATACATAAGGAGTCAAATTTAAGCTAAAAGAGGAACAGTCCGAATGCGTTGCAACCATTTTAATCACAGATGCCATACAGGAAACCTCAAGAAATCCTTGCTAAAAGGTTAACAAATCACAGAGCTGAAGCCCATCCATGTAAAGAATAAAGAAAATAATGGGTTCAGTTATAGTTTATTGATCTCCTTAATGGGAAAAAATCTGTCTTTTCACTTCTCCCCCTTCAGGTTATTTTGAGAACAGAAGGCCCAGAGCTGGCAGGAACTCTGCGTCTCCTTCAAGGCACCACGGAGCAAACAGAAATCCAGTGAGGAACAAAATGTCCTGGACGGGTAAGAAAAAGTAGACACAATGACATTTTATTGTCTGCACAATGAACCTGATCTCAATAAAGTAAAGCTGTGCATCCTTTCTACAACCGTAGGAAATGTGTCTGCCTTTAATTGGAAACATAACTGGGATCTTTTATGTGTCAATCCAAGAAGGCCTCACCTTGCAACTTCTAAGGTCCATATTTATTTGCTAAGGTGGTGCCAGATAACATACACCTTTAGAGCTCTGGGGGATCTCATCGATTAATTGGTGTCTATAAAGCAAAAGGTAGACCAACACACTATCCGGCAAGTGTTCTTTAAATTAATAGTGTTTTTTTTTTTACTAGTTAATAAAGTAAAGTAGTCTGCAAACAAGTCTAAGAAACAGTGATATAACAGACAGCTCTTAAAATACAGAAGTGATGTCTACATTTTTTTTTTGATTTGGCAAAGACTTAACTGGAGGGAATAATTCTTTACCTTAACTCTTCTCTGTATAAAGACAATGGATTTTAGTCACTTCCTAGTCAAAGCTAACCTTGCATAAGTTAGAATGATACCATCTGCCCCCAATGTTAAAGGGATAGTTCGGGATTTTTGACATGAATCTGTATGGCATCCCCATCACCAGTGTCATGCAATCACACTGACTTACCCCTGGCAGCATCCTGTGAGCAGAGTTCTCGTCCAGCTTTGGTCAAGCCGAAAGTAGTCTAGCAGGTTTGCTAGACCCAGCGAAATAAAACGTTTCTCTTCCCAAAACATTATGTGTTCAAAAGAGTGATATTTTTGCATCCCAAAAACATTGTAGTGGAAAAAGTCACACGTCGTTATCACTTGGTCCTATTTTCTCTCTGTTCGTATCAGTGCGCGCGACACCATGACCTGACAGCTAGGGCCTACTAACCTGACAACAGCCAGATGCATGTCTCGCTCCGCCTAGCTCCTAGCTGGGCGGAGCGAGGCATGCATCTGGCTGTTGTCAGGTTAAGGGCCTACCTGTTTGATTCGCGATTGTTTACTACTGGGGGAGATGTCTGACTACGAGAGCGACGAGGAAAACATCGACTTCCACTTAGAGCCAAAGGGATATCTTTATGAACCCGAGTACACTGACGATGAACTTCGACAAATGGAGTTAGATCGGGCAGAAAGAGAGAGGGTGGACAGAGAAGTGATGGAAGCTGAAGCCGGAGCCGCAGGAGCCTCAGCTGGAGCTGCGATATCCAGGGTGGCCGACAAATCATGGTGCACTTGTTTCAAGTGCGAATTAATGCAGACAGAGGTGGATGCTACTGTTGCCACGAGTGGGATTTAGTAATGCCCGAGATACAGAACCTTTCCATTGATGAGGATGTCGGAGTTGCAGCAGCTGCTGTCTGCATGATAAACAACAGCGACTTCCCTGCCCTCCTCAAAGTTGAGCTCGCTGTCAGAATGACGGCGCGCACTGATACGAACAGAGAGAAAATAGGACCAAGTGATATTTTTGCATCCCAAAAACATTGTAGTGGAAAAAGTCACACGTCGTTATCACTTGGTCCTATTTTCTCTCTGTTCGTATCAGTGCGTGCCGTCATTCTGACAGCGAGCTCAACTTTGAGGAGGGCAGGGAAGTCGCTGTTGTTTTGTGATGCAGACAGCAGCTGCTGCAACTCCGACATCCTCATCAATGGAAAGGTTCTGTATCTCGGGCATTACTAAATCCCACTCGTGGCAACAGTAG